CGGGGGCACTTGGCTTTCCTGGGGGGGGGGGCACTGCCCCCCTCCCGAGGTTATAGCTGAAAGAAACCCTGCTCTAAACTCTGAATAAAACTCGATTCTTTCACTTGTCATTTATAAACACGACACTTGTGAGTCGCAAGTGGTCTAAGGGTAAACCCCAGGGTGATAAACCAGGCCAGGAAATTCCCATTACAGTATTTATAAAAAAAATATTTTAAAATTTGGACCATTAAAAAATGTTGTTTGCTGCTGCTTTTTTTTTTTTTTAAATCTCCGCCACGGTCCACTGACCCGGCTGTTGTTGCTTCGATTCAGTGGCGTGTCTATTTATAGCCGTGCACATGTGAAGCATGTGGTGTTTTTGTGGAGGTTATCAAATATAATGCCACCAAGTGATTCTTCTCCAACACAGTGAACTGAATAAATTGTCTATAGAAACGGCCACTTGAGCTTGGCCTACTCTTGGCTGGATCAAATTACAGCACGCGATTTTTTTTTACCTTAATATGAGCATAAAGTTGAAGCACCATTACTTTGAATAGTACGCGTGTTTTTGTTAATTGTTGTATTTCTAGACTTGCAGCATCGGTTATTTTTAGTAAAAATATTTACCTTCCAATATAATGTATTTACTTTTATTAAACACCAATTCTTTCAATAATATTATGTCTTCTCTAAGTCAAGCCAAAAAGGAAAATGAAAATGTACAATTAAAGAAAAATAAGTAGGGCAAACGTCGTACTAATCTTTTTAATGACTTACTTCCCTGGAAATCGGAAGCGTATAGCACGAAAACAAAAATAGAGTTTGGGAAATGCAGTTTTGCTACAATTTACTATTTACGTAATTAATTGAAATTCTAAATCCTAATTTAAGATTGCCCATCGCTTTATTACATAAATTTCCTCGACAACGATTAAATGTCTTATGTTATCAACATATCTAAATAAAATATTAAAATTCAAATTTTTGTTATTATTTTGACCATGCCAAAAATGCAGAATTAAGTCATAATTTAAGGCTTTAGGTATGCTTAAAATGAATTTTGCTTCCGTCACGTGATTTTATAAAATGGCGGCCTCTACAAGGGAGAACCAAATAACTCCGCATGATAAGGAAATTTTAAAACAAATTTTTAATCCTGGATTACCATACGGTGATGATGTTGACGAAGAACAGCCAACAGGTTTTTAAATAGATTTTTGGAATTAACTTTGGTATAATAACCCCTAGGCCTATGATACCTGTACATATATAAATATGTAAATGTAAAGACTGATGAAGCAATCATTTTTTTGCCGAAACGTGACGTTAACTCATTTGACTCATTTGTATTTTGTGAAAGTAAAATCATCATTAAAAATGAACATTTATTGTTTTCTTTACACAAATTGTGTCTAATTTATTTAGAAAAAGTAAAAGTCAAATACCTCTTGATCATCATCCTATTTGGTAACGACATTATTGATTAATTACGCCTAAGGGCCATCCATAAATGATGTCGTCACTGTCATTAGTTAGTGTCATGATACCCGGTACTCATTGTTGCGGGGGGGGGGGGGAAAAAAAAATTAGAGTATTTGACGGAGGTGTGGGGGGGGGGCTTAAGCAATGTGAAAAGTGGAATATATATATAATATAGTAAAGAATTGTAATTAAAAGCCCTAAATTGCAGACATTTTAAACATTCTAATTCTATACAATAATTAAAATTATTGGTAAATTATTAGAGATCGTCCCGCGTTGGCTGCCATCTGCTTGACACAACCAGTTAATTCTGTCACTAATGTATCTCTAAATCGATCCCTATGCTTAACCTGAACCCCTAAATTGATCCCTATGCCTAACCTGAACCCCTAAATTGATCCCTATGCCTAACCTGAACCCTAAATCAATCCCTCAACCTAACCTAAACCCTAATTCACTGCAACTATAATAAACACGCAAATGATGTCACAGGATGATCTCTAAGAATTAGCCAAATTATTTTATTTTTAAACTACCATCCCTGAGGGAATCAGTACAGGTATGGGTGGTCCATAAGGTATTCTAATCAAGTTACAGGCCGCCACAGAGGAGAAAATAGGTGTAGTGATATTGGTAGTCTAGAGAATTTATGTCAAATTGTGGAGATGGGAGTCATAGAATTACGACTACCACATTAAATGGGATGGAATGGGGAAAAAAGGGTTGACAGGGGTGGTGGTGTGATCGTAGTAAATTCTCTAGGGCAGGGATTCTTAACCTTTTGGCATCACTGCAGGCCCACTCCATTTTAAACATCCCCCTCCCCCCCATACACAAAAAAATTATTTTGTAAAAAATATGAAAATAATTTAGTTTTATCATTGTTGTATTTCTTTTTATAAGCAAGTAAAAAATTACCAATACAAGTACCGTAATGTGTAAACAAAATTCACCATAATAACATTTACTGCTGCTCAGTGCTAATCAAATGCATAAAAACTGATTTTTTGGGGATAAAAATTAGAAACAACTAGCAATGGCAGCAAATACAAGATTCTGGTCTTCCGCAGCTCAGGGTTGGAGGGGTACTTTTACCCCTTGTTAAGAACCACAGTTCTAGTGAAATGTTTCTGACACAGGTGCAGTAATTTGATATCCATGGGAGGCGAATTTCTTAAGGGTTTGTAAAGGACAGTAATGCACGCAGGTAATTTTTATGGGGGCGGGGGGAAAGGGGGTTTGCAGAGATTTGTGATTTTATATTTGAGGGGTGGTCTAACTTTTTGTGACAGGGGGAGGGGAGGGGCAAATTCAGCTAAATACGTCACTTATGGATGGTCACTTATTCTTAGCTATCATCAATTCATTGTAATGTCACGAGTATGACTTAGTTATTATAGTTATCATCAATTGCAATGAGTATGACAACCTTTAACTGTTCGATTTTTTATTATTTTTTTTCACTCTGAGCTTATTTTGAGATTCTGTCAGTAATTCAGTAAATATGATATATTCTGTTGATGCTGTCAATTACAGTTTTTTTACTGATAGCTGATATTGTGATACGATACTTATAGTGTTACGGAAATGTTTTTAAAAATATTTCATTTGTTTATAATAGTACCATATAGCTTTTTTTTTCAATATTTGTCATAATTGTACAGAGACTAATGCAGACACACATGAAGTGTGTCAAGCCAAGGAGCTTGAAATTAGAGGCGTGAGAGCAGCAGAAGCTGGAAATATAGATGTTGCTGTAAGTATTTTTACCGAAGCAGTGTCCACTGCGCCAAACTGGCCATCATCCTACAACAACAGGGCTCAAGCTTTGCGAATGAAAGGGGATATTGAAGGTATGCATTAACCCCTTTAATCAGAATCGGGCTCTTATTTTACCCTTCATCTACTAACATGGTATAAACAGATTTGAAAAAAAAATGTATATTTTGCAAAATCAAATTCTGTTTTTGTTCACTTTGGACTTGGTTTTGTGGTCTATGAAACAAAGAAAAATAACTCCACCAACCTGTATTTAAAAGGTGTTTTCAATTTCAAATATCCCTTGAGATCAAACAAATTTATTTATTTTTTTTTTTTTTTATACCGGTACCCTACAAATATTAACCTTGTAGCAGTCACACAGATAAACGCTAATTTTTTGTTTCTCTTACAAGTTATTTTTTGTTACTTTGGACTTTGTTTTGTAGTTTATGAAACAAAAAAAAATAAATCCACCAAATTTTATTTAAAAGGTTTTTTTAATTTTAAATATCCCTTGAGATCAAACAAATTTATTTATTTTTTTTTTTTTTTATACCGGTACCCTACAAATATTAACCTTGTAGCAGTCACACAGATAAAAGCTAATTATTTGTTTCTCTTACAAGTTAACTCACCGATTTCAGTCTCATGGGTTATGTATCAAACACAGGTGCAAAATCAGACTTAAATAAAGCTCTGGAACTTAGCCAAGGAAAGGGGCCAGCAGCATGCCAGGCGTTTACACAGAGAGGTCTCATTAGAAAAAGGGAAGGTAATGTCAGCTATTTTACTCTTTTGTTGGGGATGGGGGGTTGTGGTATTTGACACGCAGCTAATGCATTTGTAAATCATACTAAATTATAAACAAAAATTATTGCAAGTGTGCATATTATGATGATTTTTATTATATATCAATAATTTGTTTTTATTTGAATTGCTCACAGAAGATGATCTTCTGTGAGCCCCTAAATAAAGAGGAGCTTCTGTTAACAATGCTGTCAGTTTCAATAAATTAGACCTTGAAAAAATAACAATGTCAGCATTGTTGAAGGTCACGTTAATATAAATTATCTTCATAAGTGATAAACACATATAAAAAATGCTGAGTGCCATCCTCTATTATTGCTGAAAAATATCTTCAGCAGTTCTAATAATTAAGAAATGATGAAGTTGGTTTGTTTAAAAAATGTAATTCATGTTGTATTTATTCATATACGTTAGGAAATTAAATGTGAGTTTTGATGAAGAAAACCAACATTTTATCAACCATTTAATACTGAGGAAAAAATCCACAGCTTTACATAAAATCATCTGTGCCGTCTGACTGGTTTTTGTTGTTTTTTTTCCCCCCACAGGAGATGAGGAAGGGGCCAGAAAAGATTTCCAGAGGGCATCAGAATTAGGCAATGGGTTTGCCAAACAGATTTTAGCAAGTATGAACCCTTATGCTGCATTGTGCAATCAGATGCTGGGAGAAGTCATGACCAAGCTGAGAACTTGTCAGGAAGAAATGTGATCCAGAAATGTGATCTTATTGTTGATGTAACCAAAGCTATAAACACATTCCAAGGTGTCTGCATTATCATTGGGTATTTCTTTGTGCTTCTTTTTTAAATTTTTTTTAGCCAGTAGTCATTTTACTTGCATAAAAAATAAAAGTGCATTTTAAGTTTTGCATTTTAAGTAAATTTTGTTGTTGATAAACCTCATTTACAAGATCTTGAGGTAAAAACAAAGCTTAGATTTCACAACAGTGTCAAAATGAAAACAGGTTTTAAATTTACCGGTACAGTACATAAAAGTTGCATTTTTATTTTTAATAGTGTTGTGACATTTGTTTATGTTAATTTAACTGTTGCGAATGTATATATTTTGTGGTAAAAATTTATTTTAAGGTTTGTTGCTCTCAATTTATTTATTTAAATTACACTAATTTTTAAAATTGAACTTCTTTTTTTTTTTTTGTCCATTTTCACAGCAGAAAGAAAAGTATCTATACAGTGTATATTATATTATATTATATATTATAACTTTATTTTCTTTTTGTTAATTATTCTGCTTGTTAAAGCATTTTCATCGAAATAGTACATTTTTACTAAAATGTTTAAGATTACAGAAATACAAATGAATTATTACTTAATTATAAATTTAACTGTATTTTTTAAAAGATTTTTCATGGCACCAAATCAGTTATGAATAAACTTGTATATGTATTGTTTGATGGCTCATTAGTGAGCACCAGGATCTGTGGTTTACACTCATTTATTGGGATTCAGACATGGTCTCATTCGTGGTTCAGCTGGGGCCTTCCCAAAGTGATTTGTTTATTTTTACATTCCTGATTTATTCTGGCAGCTATAACCGCAACCATTTTTTTCATTGCACAAGTTGGCTGCTGTCTTCCAACTCTGGTGGTTGGGGTTTCCCACTCAGTATCACTCAGCATTTACATCTTCCCCAAAAATTGTTTGCATTTAAACAGATCCTTAATTTTAATAAAAGAATTGATGATATTGAAGCTATGTCTGTGCTCTGTTTCTTGTCGTACTTCTATTTGTCCTGTTCGCTGAAGAAGGCTCTAAGTCGAAACGTCCACATCTTGCTGTCCTGTCTTTTGATTCAAGCTTCAACATACCTTGCTCTACTATTTCGTTGAAGTCATGTGACAGTGTGGTATTAAAGTTATTTTAGCATTACCTTGCTTTTAACAATTAATACATTATAACTTTATCTTTTTTTTTTTTCTTTTAAATTATTAATACCGGTACTGAATTATTTGATTTCTACACGACAGAGACTGAGGCTGAGACTGAGTCTGAGACTGAGACAGAGAGAGCCTCATTGCATATTGTGATCTGGGAACACTATATTTTACAATTTCAAATTATTTATTTCTTGTTTTTTACTGTCTGCTGAAGAAGGCATTTAGCCAAAACATCCTTTTAAGTTCTTGTTGGTTTTTTTTTAAGGCTAAAAATATCTCATTTCACTATTAATTTCTAAACTAGTAAATGGAACATAAAAAATTTTAAAATATTTTATATTTATAAATCCATTTAAATTGGTAAATTTCGCATTTTGCTACTTCTTTTTAATTAATTGGATTTTAGTTGCTGAAAAGCATGGGAAACAAAGTTTTAAAACAAACAAGTCCAACCACAACAAGCAAACAAACCCCACTCAAGTCAAGTTATATAAAGTCTATTTACAAAGTGCTTAACTTAAAAAATATAATTTTTTTTTATATTGCCTGAAAAATAAATTTAAAACCATATTGACTCCTCTTCTATAAATAATAAAGTCATTATTTTATTGTGATGAAATAGATTATTTATGGCAGCGATGAAATAGATTATTTATGGCATTCTCTATAAATCTCTTCAAACGCTAGTCTTCAGGGAACACAACCAAAACGACTTTTGTAATTAAATATTGTAACACTGTTGAAAATGAAAAGAAATCAGCCATTTCAAGCACAGTGTTGAAGACTACTGGCCCAGATGCACACAAATTTAGATTAATTATATAAACACTGATTGTCCAAGTAATTTGTGAAAATGATACATTTCAGGTTAACCAACATAGAAAGGAAAAAAAAAGCCAGTCTTGCAATGATAGTATGAGAAAATAAACCAGCCTTCCAGTGATAGTATGAAAAAATAGCCAGGCTTTGAGTGATAGTATGACAAAATAGCAGGCCTTCCAGTGATAATACGTCACAAAACAGAACTTTTTTTTTTGTGTGGCCCACATGGAAAATGAAAATGACATAAAAGTTTAGAAAACTCTTGAATAACTGATTCAAGCATTTACCTAATGAAAACTAAATGCTGATATGTGCATAAAGTAAATATCTCCCTGACACACTAAAATCTCAGGTGAATCTTACAGCACAGTGCATTGGCAGGTTTTTAATTTGTAACAATGGTCATGAAATAACATAAAAACTAGAATTTTTAAAATTATTAATATTTATGTATATTTTTTTTCAAGCAGTCACTAAGCCTGACTACCAGCAGCAAGGTGTCAAGAGCCATACAAACACTTAGGAAAAGTATTCTGTCACACTGTTCCTAGTGTGAATCCCAGCAATCCCAGGTTGCCAAATGACACCCCCCCGTCCCCCACCCTTTCCAAAACTTCACCCACTAGTTAAAGAAAAAGGCTTACGGTAGAAATTCCCAACAGATAGAGGCATGGTAGGGAATTATTTATTTTTTAAAATCTAGAATAAAAAATCTACTACAAAAAATAAAATGTCTTTAAAAAACTTATTTTTATGCCAAAGATAAAATGTTAAAAATGTACGGAAATTACCAAAAAATTGAATCAAGCGGGAACTAAACTGAAAAGATTCTTGAGTAAATACATTGCAATTTTTTTTTTATTTATCTTTAATGAACTAAAAAAAGATTCATCATGTGTTGTGACTGAGACTCTCACTTCTATGGCGGGGATTCCCAAACTTTTCTTCGTGGTCCGGTTATTTTATGTTCTTCCTTCATGACTCTCTAAACCAGTGATTCTCAACCTTCCTAATGCCGCTTCCCTCTATTACAGTTACTCATGTTGTGGTGTCCCCCAGCCCCAAACCATAAAATTATTTTTGTTGGTTCTTCATAACTAGAGTATTTGTGTTTTCTGATGGACAGGCGAACCCTGCGAAAGGGTCGTTCGACCCCCTAAGGGGTCGTGACCCACAGGTTGAGAACCGCTGCTCTAAACTAAAATTTGTTTGTAGCTTACGCTTGCCACTCAGTAAAATAAAATAGATTTGAAGGTCCATACAGTTTAAATTTTAAAATAAGAATTTAATCTTACAAAAATGTGAAGACATCAGAAAGAAACCAGTTATGTAGCAAAACATTCTTGCTGGTCCCCATTCAAAGCTAGATTCTGATATTTTAGGGTTTCAAAAGAAAAATCACAAAACAAATACCTAGATTGTATTTCAAGTCATTCTTTTTTGTGACCCTGTAGATTTTCTTTTGTGATCTGGGATCAGGTGGCGACCCGCCTTTTGGGGAAACACTGGTCTAATGCAGTTGGACCCAATCATTTGTTGTCATTGAGACTCTTGCTGTCAACTGTCATCTTAGCCATCCTGGCCTGACAAATCTGTGCGCTGGCTGAATTAGGCCACGACCTCCCTGCAGACACCGGATGCTCCTCCCCGCCCACATAAACTGCAACAGGCGAGAATGCCTTTTGAATTGTCCTCAGCTCCCCTGCACAGTCTTCCAAATGTTCGCACACATCTTCCAGCTTGAGGATGGTTATGTCAGCTGGCATGCCCACACCTAATGAGCCCATTTCATTTTGTTTGCCTGGAAAATCAGCAAAAATAAAGTTAATAGACATTTATTAACGTTCATTGACATGAAAGCAGGGACATTCTTAAATACTTATACATAGGTGAAATTGAAATTTTAGTTCAGGAATTAAAATCATATGCTAATATTAAAATCTCTGGCTCACGGAATGAGACAGAGCTAATATTTGGTGTACAACTTAGTCTTTAGGGGGGAAATAGAAGAACAAGTTATGTGGAAGCTTGAAAGAGAAAGACAGGACAATAAAAGAAGAAGTTTCATTCATTTATTATCTTTCTTGTTTTTCTATCAAAATTCGGTTGATTCTTTTAATGCCAATGATATAAATATGTGTAGTAAAATTTGCAATTTGAAGAAAAAATGAAATTTAGAGGCGTCACCTCGTCTACCATGCCTCGCGTTGTTTCGCAGCACACAGGGACGGTTCTAAAATACACGCCACTGAGGCAAACACAACTTGTAGGTTTAACTTCAATTTAAATTGACTGTGTTGTAGGGAGAAAACAATCCCCACTTTGAATCATAACTTTAAAAAAAGGTGGTTATGTTGAAAAAAAATTGTTTTTTTCTACATTATCTTGCACTAGCTGTTTTTTTAACTTCTTGTCTCAGCAGTTTCCTTTGCATAATATTTTACCTATGGCCTTAGCTGGTGTAGCTGTCACGGCCGCTACCACATCTTCTAGACTCATCCCAACGTGCAACAGTTTAGTCATGACACAAGGCAGGTCATACGCTGGCCCTTGGTGATCACCAGTGTGAAGATCTGTGCTGATCGTGTCCGGCAGGAATCCCTGGGCCACACACCTCTCCGCTACGCTCCACATGAAAGAACCTTACAGGCAGGAACATAAGCATTTAATGATTTTCATTTTCAACCCTAAGGGGAATTTTCTTTTTTTAAATATGTGTAACAACTACCCCACAAGAAAAGCTTATTTGATATCAGTACACAACTATCAGAAAGTATGCAGCCGCCAGAGCTATTAACTTTTGCAAATACTTTACTTGAAATTTGCATTGCTTTCTCGTGAGTTGAAGATGCTCTTGTATTATTGATTTTTTTTTAACTGCTCCTTTCTGATGATTTTAAGTTATTATTGAATTTTCATTTTATAATTAATAGTATGGATTTAAATGTAAACACTATATAGCCTTCTGTAATACTTTTTTTTTCCAATGGTGTAATAATTTTGAAAACCATTATTTTATAAATTTTTTCAGCTTTAGGAAAACAATAAATTTCAGGTGAGGAATCATCAAGTTTCAAGGCCATCAAATGAAATTTTTATTACCTTGTCCATGGCCTACATCAAATAATACTCCTCTTTTCTTAGCAGCCATACAGCTCTCATCTATAGCACCCGTTGGGTCTAAAATAGAACCACTATGTCCGTGGAAGCAATGCGTGTAGATATCGCCAGGCCCGAGGTCTCCGGGGCAACTAAGTTGACCTCAGAAAGAATATACAACAAAGACATGCTGTAAATATTAGTGGCATACAAAACTATATGAACTCATAGCCTTTTTTTTTTACATTGTAAAAATGATTAATCTTGAAGTTTCTTTTTTAAACAGCAGGCAAGGAGGAATGGAATCCAAATTATTTTGTAAATCTCAGGCCAATAAGAAAAGATTAGTTGCCATTTTGAAACATTTACCCCAGCCCACGCTTCCAACACAAATGTAGGTCCAAAAAATTATTAGTAAATATTTATACTAAACGCTTTCATTAGGTTGCTATGGGCGTTTGTTATGGAATCTTGCATCTCAATTTTGAACCACTTCCTGGTGTCCAATTGATCCAAACCTCTGTACACTTATCCATCCGGGTAACAATACAACCTTTATGAACAGTAGGTTACCAGTGACCTCCACTTACCCTTGTGTGACCTCTGCTGGTCAAATCTTGCATCTCAATTTTGACCTGGTGTCCAATTGAGCTGAAACTTTGCACACTTACCCGACCCTGATGACAGCAACCCCTAATGATCATTAGGTCACCAATGACCTCCACTGACCATGAGTGAACTCTGCGGATATCTCAGGAACAGAAAGTGATAGGGGCATCGGATCTTCGCTACACCGTTACCTTATGCATGGTTACTTGTAGTTGTTCCCCCATTTTCAATCAGCGATGACCAAAAAAAAATTTATTACATGGGTGCCACATTCTTTTTTAGTCATCTGCTTGAACTCACTTCCTGAGCTCCTATTACATCTTCCAAGACTAAAAGTAACAAAATAAAACAATATAATTTTTTTTTTTTTTTCAAACAAGCTTTAACAAAAATGTACGAAAGTATAAAATAAATTGCCCCCAAAAACTTCAGAGTTATTACAGTTGTACGACTAAAATGCATGGGGCGACCATGGACTCAAATTTCCTTGCAAATCGCAAAGACATGCACAGCACCGATAATTTCATTCAACTTGTCAAGGTCACGATCAGTGGGAGCATACAACAGTAATGCAAGGCAGTTGTGAGAACTCATATTTCCATGCTTAAGTGATCTGTATCATAACAACTGTGTGACATAACACTTACTTGCATCAATGCAAACTATAGGCCTACATTTGTCAACTCATATGACATTTCATGGCACCCCAAGTTTTTTTGTTTTTTTTTTGTTTAGTTTAGATCATATGACTGTAACAACTCTGAAGTGTTGGGGACATTTATTTCATAATTTTTATTAAATTTCTGTGAAAGGCGCGTTTTTATAAAAATTTGATTTTATATTGTTTTATTCATCTACTATGAATGATAATTTACAATGAACAAAAGCGTACATCTAATTAAGTTTGGAACAAATTTTATATCAGGGGGGAGAATCTCATTAAAAGCAAACATTTTTTATTCTTTTTGTTATTGCCCTTTATAAAGGGCCCCGAAATTAATAAATGTGATATTGCGGCATTTGTTGGTGAAACAAGAGTGATAAATCAAACAGTGATCCATACAGCATAAAAGCTTTTATTTTTAAAAAAATGTGAATAGTAATTTCATTGACAAAAGTTTCTTTGTGCATTATTTGCACATGTTACACATGAGACGATTTTGTGTATAGGTTCGTTTTACGACAGGTAAGTTTGATCTTGTACAAGCCCATGTCTATTTGGGTCATACTCACCAGAGTTTCCGTGTTGTATCGTAGACAAACTGTGATGAACCATCAATGGGACCTTGCAAGTACTCGCAGCCTGCAGGGCTCGCCTGTTCAGAACCAAAAAAAAAAAAAATGTACAACTCTCATACTTAAGTCATCATAACAGCAGCTTAAAACTTCATCTCTTGTTATTATCACTATCAAAATAAAGTCTTTAAAATCATAAAATACTTCCAAAAAAAAAATTGCTTTAAAATTTATTTAGTATACTATAAAATTTATATTTCCATTTAGGAAGGCAAATTATTTTATCTGACATGGTTGTATAACGATGAGGCTAAGATGAATTTCAAAATATTAAGATTAATATTTAAATATGGTGTGTTTTAAATTGATCTTGATTAGCTACATGCTCAGTAATCACCTAACATATTTGTGTTTTAATTATGTTGGCACTTGAAACTAGCGTTAGATAAACTATGTATTCATTTACATGTGTATGTACCTGCCTATTGGCTTACTTTTCCAAGCATATTATTGTGTTTAAAATAAAAAGATTTTCCAAACCTATAAACCTCCACTTCATTTAATCCGTTGTTTGTGATTGGTATACCCAGCCTAACCTTGACCCCGACAATCATGTCCCGGTTTTCATTGATGACTCTAACGCAGTCATCCACCTGCACCGCGTTGAGTGAATCACATTCACCTCCACTGTCTGTGACAGAGAGGCATTTAATAATTTCAGACCAACAACATTATCTACTTAGGCACATGTAAATTATTTGTAATAAGTCTCTTGTATCTAGGAACAACATATTATCTAATTTTGTTATCTTCTGATATGTAGCCAATGCGTCTAGACTTCTTTTTTTTTTTTAGATTGTCATTTGTTTGATATCTCTTGTTTTGTAGACCAAAATTAGTCAACAAATTAATTCTAAGTCAGGGTTCTCTTCTCTTTTGTCTTCATCGAACACATCTCTCACACATATCGATTCCCTTAAACGTTGTAAAATTAAGCTGCATCCATATTAAAATTAAATATGAGAAGTTTGAAGGCAAAAAGCCATTTGTCGAGCAGTAATTTTGTTATTAAATAACCATCAGACACTTTAATTAGAGATGTCTCGCTGTTGAGGCCCACTTTAAATATTATGTATATCATATGTTGTCTGCTAGACTTTACAAATCTTCAGATAAGCCTGCAAAGCCTGCAACGATCACTTAGGAGAGGGGTGGTCAACCCTTAAGTCTTCACGGGACACTTTGACGGCATGTAAACCTTTTGCAGGCGGCATCTTATTACAACTAATGTTACAATTTTCAAATGAACACCCACGAAATGCTGATAATTATCTGTTCTCAATGCAAAAAAATATGAAAATAAAAAAACAAAATAAAAATAAAGGAATGTGTTTAATTTTTTTCTCTCGTGTCAATTTTTAAATTCCATTTCTTTGTAAATTGAAAAACTAATAAGTTGATTTTTTGATAAATCAGCTATCCGCGGGCCGAAATATTTAACGCAGTGGGTCGCAGGTTGGCCACCCCTGTCTCATGAAATAGCCTTTTAAAATTACATACGTTTGGTTGTTTTAACGACAAAGCAGTGAAAATCTATGATGTATAGTGCTACGGTCTTCATAGATATAATATAGTAGATAGACTATGGTCTTCTTCTTCTTCTATATCTTAAGGGCCCACGATCAATTTATTGATCATTTTGGCTCCTATGCATGTAGATGGGATTTGCAATGTTTCAGTTACTGGTATAGATATAATAATCTAGTATCATCAAAGGACCACAACTGATCAAGAAAAAACGTGTAACAGGGCAGCTAGATGGTTCTTGTGATAATCCTATCCACCTTAGTTGTTCGCCAAAAAAAATATTTAAAGAATAATAGGTGGATCTTTAAAAGATATTTTATAAGATATCTATTCCTTTTTTTTTTTTTTGAAGGACACAGGTGGGCCAAAGCTAATGAATTCAGAAGTCACATCCACTCTTTAAAGGAAACCCTGACCTTTCATGACACAGCCAGCTGAGGCAAGTCCATGCTGAGCAATGTGCAGGAAGCTGAACACCCGAGTTTTACTTCTCTCAGATATGAATTTTCTAAGTCCTGGAAACGTAGACGAACCTTTGGGAATATATAACAAATGATGACGATTATTGGGAAATCATTTGTTTTAATAATAATAACGATAAATTTTAAAACAGTGTATCTTTGAGGATTCATAATTTTTCATTCTCTGTCAAATGGGAAGTCATGGATTCTTTCCAGTGAAAGAAACGTGTAAAATTAACATCAATCTAAAAATAATAAGGGTAAGCCATCTTATTTATGAAGGTTAAGACGGGCAGTTTATGCTCGATCATTTCCCTTTATTCTGGTTGTTCTTCCAATTGAAATACGGTAAATCTAAGATACAGTCAGATTTGGTAGAGACACATGGCCGTTTTATCAAAAGTCAGAATTGTCTTATTTTTCCTAATTAATTTTGAGGCATTTGAATTTAACTTAAAATAAATGAAAATTATGAATAAGTTATGTCAACGTATGTTTTAAAAAGACGAAAAAGGTAAAGAAAAATCAAAGTTATTGATTTACAACCAAATCACCATTTCTTTTTTTAGCTTAACCTGCGACACTCCAGCCAACAAGCCGTTGTGCACCTGGTCCATAGCGATGCATACATGAAGGCGGGACAGATTGATGACCCAATTGTAAAGCGTTATAGCTGTACAGAGGAGTGGATAAACTGTTCGGCGCCGGGGACAAGGTATTTTTTACGCCCCTCCCCCTCTCCCACCCCCTTAACTCTGAAACATATTATTTTCATCAATAAAATACCACCAAAGCCCGTTTTGGCGCCCCAACTTGTCCGGGGCCAGGTGTCCTCCCTCATATCGCCCCCCCCCCTAGCTACTTCTCTGTCTTTTTATACAGTACTATATAGTAGGATGGTATATGAACTTACTTAGATATCACCTCGAGTGATTAATGGGATGCCCCTTGGTGAAAGATGTCTCGATTGATTAACTGCCAGATGTCATGGTAGCTGTGATGGTAATTTTGATGGTATATATGATGGTATATGCGATGGTATATGTGATGGCATCTGTGATGGTTTTCATGATGGTAATCCTATATGCGATGGTAGCTGTGACGGTATTTGTGATGGTAGGCCTATATGCGATGGTATATGTGATGGTATCTATGATGGTATCCGTGCTGTTAAGTATATCCAGGCTATAATGTAGCAGTTTTCAAACGCCCAGAATGAACCCGTCCTTGAGTGTACAGCGTGGTCGTGTATACCTATCATTAAGTGTTTTGAGGAAAACAAAATGGAGGCCGAGGGTGGCAGAACAAATGTATGGTTCAACTCACTAATTGACCTGGTTATCATTATGACACAACCAGTAACATTGGTCGCCCCACCCCCACCACCATTTCCCCCACTCCGACCCACCTGTGCATGTGTTGTCTGGTGCATTTATCTTTATTATTATCATTTTTATTAATTTTTTTCAGGAGAGTTTTTCCCAAATCATAGGTTGTGATCTCAAATGTTGGGGTCTCTAAGAGCGTTTATTTAAATGAGGTCGTCGGTTGAAATTAAAAATAAATTTATAACGCAATCAATTTTTAATTCATTTTTGGGATCTTAAAGTTTGGAAATATCAAAATGTATTCCTATTTTTGTCTACGCATCTCCAACAATGACGGTGGATTTTAAGCGATTCGTAATTTTAAAAAAACAAAACATAACAAACTGGCGTAGAAGAGGGAAATGATTGCCGGGGGGGGGGGGAGGATAAGGGAATAAGCGACACTTTTTAAAAAATATACATTTAAGGGGTGGCATTTTCGGCCACCTCAGAGTTTTTTTTTTCGTGGATGAGCGGTAAAACCCGTGGAAACGCCGCTACCAAAACTAGAAATATATTATCAAGCCTAAATGTTGAGACGCACATAAGGGTGGCAATAAAAAAAATATAAAAAATTCAAATAAAAATTAAACTCAACCCTCGAATTCTTAAGCTTGTAAACTAGTTTCCATTTCAATCATCACATTATCTGCAGGTCTAATGTACATGAAAACAATGTGTGTTCCGCTTGTTATCTTTACCCTTATTAAAAAGCAACAAACAGTGTCAAACTAATCAAAAATTCAAGCAGGGCTACAGGTATCGGGGATATCGGTGGATTTCCATTTACAAAATGGGGTTGCGAACTCGCGATACGAAAGTAGGTTGGGAAACAGAAATTAAGAGAATTATTTTTTTTTTTTCTTTAAGGTGCATACTTTTTTTGAGGAACATGGGGCTTTAATCATAATTCAGGCTTATTTGCCCCGTGTGAAGCTTTTTTCTTGCCACGACCCGAGTATATACTTCTCGTATCGGGCATTCAATGCGTTAAATTTAATAAAGTAAACCCCGTACAGTGAATACACAACACTACAATGAGTGTCTCATTTCTAAAAGATAACGATCGAAACTCATATGACTACGAGAAGCAGGTAACCGCTTGTGGAATGTTACCAATGATTTTGCTTATCAGATCAAATATTTTACTTTCATTTTAAGGGAAACGACGCTTTTTTCAATCGCTTCCCGAAAAATTAATGCTATTATTTCCCTTGAAATCCTAGAGGTTTCATTGTGGATTTCAATTAGCCGCATTCTTTTAAACAACTAAATTTAGAAATGGACATCATGTGGCCACGACAGATGGAAGCCATGAATATGTTATTATATAAGACATATTAAGATATTCATTTTACCATAAATCTTTCGTGGGGCAGAGGCATAGTTAAGGGGGGGGGGGGTCGGCTTTGTTAAATGGGGGGGGGGCGCCGTAGGTAAATGGGGGGCAGAGGGACATGTCCTCGGGCGCCATACCAGTAGGGAGCGCAAAAAATGAAATGGGATTTAAAAGTATGATAGATTAAAATAATGTGTTTCTGAGTTGAGGGGGCGTTAAGAATGAGCCTTGTCCCCGCTCGCCAAACATTCTAGCTACGCCTCTGACGTAGTGAGTCCCATGACTCCCATTAGTAAATAGTAAGAGAAGGGTTTGGGAGCCTCTTTGAAAGAAATTACATTGATTTTTTACAATAAAAAATGCGCGCAAAAAATATTTTAAAAAATTGTAACAGCTTAATTAATAAAACATGACGTAAAATTAAATTATAACACTCGCCATCCTTCAGCTTCCCACTAGGCCTGCTGTAACACGATCTGACATAACTTTTTTTTTTTTTTTTTTAAATCAGGAAGTCCTTATTATAACTACACGCTGGGGGTGCATGCCTTCGGCCCTTCGCCTATCTGCGGGAATTTTTCTGAAGATTTGTTTTAATAGCTACCGCAACGTGTCCCGCTGACAGGCTACCGTGAAGCATGCGCAGAGGTTTTGTGGACACCTCATAGCATAAACTTTTTTTTTTTTTTTTTTTTTAAATCAGGAAGTCCTTATTATAACTACACGCTGGGGGTGCATGCCTTCGGCCCTTCGCCTATCTGCGGGAATTTCTCTGAAGATGTGTTTTAATAGCTACCGCAACGTGTCCCGCTGACAGGCTACCGTGAAGCATGCGCAGAGGTTTTGTGGACACCTCATAGCATAAACACACTCACAAGCAGACGATCAATCATGACTTCCACGTAACATTCAGTCAAGTCTAATTTTACGGTAATTTATGAGTGCCAGCTGGCGCTGAGAATAAGGCGGGCCTCGTTGTGGTGTGGACGAGGACCGTTAGAAGTAGTAAACAATAACACTCGTGATCGACCTAGCCGAGGTCATAAAAATTATTTTTTTTAAATATATCAGGTTGGTGGTCACAAACTTACCATTAAATGTGTTGTGTTTGTAGGTTACTGGATTTTTTTTATTGGGGGGGGGGCGGTGGAAATGGGTTATGGGGGTGCTTGTATAGGGAAGCACAAAAGGCTTGATTTGGTTTGACAGCTAACCAAAGCTGTGTCGAGCCACCACAGAAAGCAATACCGTTATGAAAGCATGTGTGTACTTTGCGTGCCTGTCGTCTTTTGACTTGAGTTGGGGGTGGGGGGGGGGTAGTTTCTGACTCCGTTAAAAAGGTTTTGAGGTCGGCCGTGTCAGTTCCCCTCCCCACCCTTCCCGTGTATTTGTCTTACCTGCACTACCCGCGTCAACAACAGCCGTGACTCCCCTCGCCTAAGCATGTGTGTACTTTGCGTGCCTGTCGTCTTTTGACTTGAGTTGGGGGTGGGGGGGGGGTAGTTTCTGACTCCGTTAAAAAGGTTTTGAGGTCGGCCGTGTCAGTTCCCCTCCCCACCCTTGCCGTGTATTTGTCTTACCTGCACTACCCGCGTCAACAACAGTCGTGACTCCCCTCGCCAGGCACATTCTATCTACATTGACTCCTAAGGGCGTGGCATGCTCGTATGCATGGACGTGGAGGTCAATTAATCCTGGGGTCACTATACAACCCGTAGCGTCCACCACTTGCCAACGGCCAGAGCCTTCAGGAGGTTTTCCAATGGTGAAGATACGGCCATCAGCGACGTACGCGTCTGCTACTTGGTTAAAATGCCGAGCCGGGTCGATTACCCGTCCATTTTTTATAACGAATTCGTGCATTATTGATTCTTAAGAAAATTTATACAACAACACGACCATAATAATAAAAAAAAACCACAAGCTAGAATCAAGTAGGATTTCTACAGTGTATCTGTAGCGACGCGAGAGCGTGTCATTATCATTTTATACACTATTGAAAGACATTAACGTGGCCTTTTCAACAACAACAAAAAAAAAAAAATTGTATAGAGGTATGGTCTGTTTCATGCAAAATGTCTGAGTCAATGCGGAATGCGGCGAAAGGGGACTTCGGTATAAGGAGCCAATAAATTGCGAAGCCTTCTGCGCTGCGTGGGTTAGGGATCACGTGACAACAGCTCGTATGATTGTCAGGCCTTGCTCGAGTGAGATGGCGGTGGATTTTATCTAACGTCTGGTTATGGCTTTAGGTTGAAATTTGTATGCTATCGAATTGGAGTAACTTACGGATTATACCAATTAAAAAACTTTACCGAAATCTCTCACCATGGATTATATAGTTTAATCAAACGAATAAACAACCACGGATACTAATACATGAGCCCGCCTTATGTTTTCTATTGAAAGCACCACAGAATCGTCTTGTTCATTATGCAGGACAGGTCGCCATCTTGAATTTTTGTACATGGTTAGGCATGGAAGCCGACCCTCCTCCCTAGTAGTACTAGCTGTAATGGAGTAGATCACCAGAAGAAGATGTGTTGGCATAATCTTAATAAATAAATGTGTATACTAATCAGCTCAATTTTTCGTTTCAATATTATTTCCTTGTCCCATATATCTTTTTTTTCTGATTTAACGATTTTTAACATAAATGGATTGTTTTTAATGGTTGATTGCCAAGTAAATGTAGATCTTACAAATCGAGTTCGATCTCAAAATGGCCCCGTTCAAAATCGTGTTATTCCGTCTATAAATTTTTACAAAGTCATAGCTCTGAAATGCAGCCAGTTATTTTTTATGAGGTCAGGACTGTACGTCTTGCGGTTTATTTAATTATTATATAATTATTTAAAATTAAAAATGGTAAACCATGCCTAAATGCAGAATGTAAACCATTTCCCGTCGTAATCCGGTAGCTTCAATCTATAGAAATACCGGTATTTATTTTAAAAAGGCGCGATTTTTTAAATTCTTAAAGTTAAATATAAATCAATGGGAAAATTGACCATTGGACTGTCTAGCTTAACTAGCTATGCGTTGACCTAGATACCGTGAATTTTTTAATACAGACACGGAATGCTGTACTGGTACTGTTACTGACACTAGACCAGGAAGAACGGAGATTAAATGGTATAATTACAATTTAATTAATTTAATTTATTTCTAATAACAAAATGTTTTTGTTTTGTGGATCTCTTTGTTTTCATATATTATGGGTTGGATAAAGCATTCACAAAAGCTTATTTAAATTATATAAATATATATATTATATAGTGTTTTTGGACAAGTAGTCACACATTTGAGAGGACATTAAATTAACCGTATGCATTATATTGGCTAACTTTGGTAGTAGCCATACTGTAAAAAGGCTACATTACTGATCACACTATAATTTTTTTTATATGTAAGCAAGGCTGCGACTATTCGTACCCCCCCCCCCCGAGCAAAGGTATGTCCTAAAATAAATCAGCTGGAATTCCCCCCCCCCTCCCCCCCGAGCAAAGGTATATCCTAAAATAAATCAGCTGGAATTCCCCCCCCCCGGGAAAATTTCCGAAAGAAACACTTTTCGTACCCGGGTACCAGAAATGAGAGGTTGGCATTAAAAAACTTTTTAAAATATTATTGCTGGGTTTGTAAGACAAAATGAGGTGACAAATGAAAATGAAAGGTAATTGAATGGATTATATGTCCGAATAGCATTTAGTAAAAATGGAACCGGAAACGCAGCGCTGCTATTAGGACCTGGGTCCCTTTAGACTCAATGCTATTCGGATGTCATTTGTGGTAGTTTATTTTAGTTTAGCTGAAGAATTAAGTTTACAAACATATAGTCCATTCAATTATCTTTCATCTGATACCAAATTTTGTCTTACAACCTAACAATAATAGTTTTCTTTAAATTTTAATCCCAACCTCTAAATTCTCGGACCCGGCCCGAATAGCCACTTCATTTTATTATAAATATTATAGGTACTTGATATTTCCTATGTCTATGTTTTTCCTATGTCTATGTTTTTCCTATGTCTATGTCAACCCTATTACTAATAGTATTATTTGACATAATCTTTATATTTTTAAGGTCTAACTTTTTATTTACCAAAATTTCCCTCCCCTTACTTGTTAGTTTTGTTGTTTTTTTTATTGATCATAAATGTCATAATTGATGAAATTAAAACAATATGAGTTCCGTAAAATAAAAAAAAAGAAACTATATTTTATTTCTTGTAAGAAAAAATATTTATGTTTAAACTACGATATAGATGCCAAATTTTTAGCTCCTCAATCTTCAAGACTTTTTGTAAAATGTTTTTTGGTTTTTATAATTGCATCCAAAGACATCGTCTATTTGAATTTTGAATTAAAGATTTTTAGAGGGACTGAAAATTTAGTATTTTAAGTTTGTATTTTATTTGTTAGAGTTTAGAGCCCCATCTTCAGGCTATTTTTTTTTATTTCAGAATCTCCCACCAATAATTGCCGTACTTCTCATAGTATGTGTTTGTTCGTTATTGGGTTAATTGTAACAGTGCACAATATATATTTAAAGGAAGTTATATTGTGCGGTAATTAGTATTTAATACATGAAATACGGTACATTTAAATTTAAGCTAAGTGATTTTTTTAAATACTTTAAATATAATTGATGTCATATCTGATGGAGGATATACACCGGTATAATATATGCAGCTGAATTTGACTATTTTCACATTAAATTACAACCAAAATTTTGAAAAGTTACAGAATTCATGCCTGGAGAAACATCTCTCTATAATAGTATAATTACCGGTATATCTTTATTAAATAAACTAGAAATATGGAAATAACCCGCCAAAAAAAGGCGTCGGAAATGCGTGAACTTACCAATCTACCGGTACCGGTACTAGAGTTAATTGCAAAACGGGCATTCAGGAAACGCACTTTATAAAAAATCACCAATTAGTGCTAACTACTGGGAATTTTATGTTGTACGCCCATTGAACACAGCGTTACAGCCACGATTACATCCATACCGGTATCTAGAGAGTTACTTTTAAAAAAAAATAATTTGTACCATAATCGTGGTTGTGTCTTATTGCTGATGTTAATACAAACTCAACTAAGTTGCAAAGCGTTAAAAAAAATATTCAACATTCTGCCACTGTTTTGAAAATTATCAACTTTCTTTCGAGAGTTTTCGTGATTTCCATTATGTTGTAAATTAAATCCCTTTCAAAACAAAAAAAAAACCTTATGATTTGTGGTGTGATCTAGACACCCATGATTCCATGATCTAAAATTAGCCTTTGACATCTACGTGTCGGCTGCCAGTCCAGAGCATCCCTGACAACGAGCACGTGAGATCATCTTACACCGAGCGTGCTGCGAGTTCGAGTTATTTTTGCTCTACGTTAGGTCGTGTACCTGGCAATCGGCTGAGAGGCTTCATTTATAAGCCAGAAGAAGGCTCTCTTGTCTAAATTTTCCAACAGGGGCGTCGAGGTCTAAGAAATCGTACCGCGTGTTAAATAAAGCGGGGTGGGGAGGGGGGGGGTTAGTTGGAATAGCACGTTATTAGTGTGTGGCACGAATTAATATAAATGGTGGGCCGCGCGGGAATCTGGCTGCGAATATGAAGACCAATCATTAATTTTCATCACGCAAAAATAATTGTTAAATGTTTTTTTTTTTATGTGTTAGGATTTGCTATGCAATTATGTAGTGAATAAAATAAAAATATTTATTGCAATTATAATTGTAAATCTTATTTAGAGGTGTTGTTGAGATATTTTGTTTGCATAGTTATAGTAAAAATAAATAGGGGCGTAATTGCAGCTGGCAGAAATTTTTAGAACCCGTGTGATCTTTTTCAAACATGCAATCCAATGGATACAATATAATATAATTATAATGTTTTGAGTGTACTGCATCAGCGATCCCAAACCCCACCTCATTTGCCCCAAAGACAAAATAAGTAGATTCGACCATGTCGCACTGCAAAGTAGGTGTTTGACTGACAAGCCTGACCCAGAAGTTAGAAGAGAAGATAAATTGCAAGAAGAATTATAATGTACTTTAAAAAAACTTAAAACAGGAGCTTTGTAGCCAGCGTACAGTAAGACACACTGAGACGTCATTGATTGATGCTATAAGTTAAGTTGAATAAGGCCACGTTGTACATTTTCCTCCACGGGGGAGGGCGACGTCAGTTCGTTTGAATTAATGTTGTTGTTGTTTTTTTGGGTGTTTTTTTTTAATCTTTCTTCCCTTAATTGTTAAAGGGGTAAATGTAAAAAAAAATAAAATTTAAAAAAAAAACTATCAGTAGCGACTGTAAATGTGTATTTTGATCAAAGCCAAGGCAGCAAGTGGACTGATAAATGGACTGACCACTTAACGAGTATTATGGAATCCAGGGCCGTCTTAACATAGGTGGCCCTGGGCACAGCAATGCACTGAGGCCCCCTAGCAACACAACATACCCGGGGCGTGAGAGGGGGGGGGGGGCACTCGCCTCATGCTCTAACTGTTCCTGCTCCCCACCAACTCACCGAGAGGAATAAAAATGTAAACAATAAAGGGAAACTTCGATAAAATCAATTTATTGATACAAAAAACAAAATCATTCAAAATAAATAATAGTTTTAAAACATTATCCTGGGCACAGCAATGCACTGAGGCCCCCTAGCCACACAACATACCCGGGGCGTGAGGGGGGGGGGGGGCACTCGCCTCATGCTCTAACTGTTCCTGCTCCCCACCAACTCACCGAGAGGAATAAGAATGTAAACAATAAAGTGAAACTTCGATAAAATCAATTTATTGATACAAAAAACAAAATCATTCAAAATCAATAATAGTTTTAAAACATTATCAGAAATAAACTAAAATTAATCACAGAGGATGATAAATTATCATTATTGACAGATAGATAGAATACATTATTTAATATAAACCAACATAATCGTTTGCGTAATATAATATAATATTCACGAACAATATATAAAGCATGGTGCCTCTATAAGAGTGAGT